TCCCTTCCCTGACATCTCCTAGCTCAGCTTCCTTCAGGTCTCTGCTCAAAGGTCAATCTTATCAGTCTTCAAACAAAATAAAAAAGAAATGCTCTCCTGTTGGATGCAATTTTTTAAAATCTACAGGTTTTAGAGAGGGAGGGAGAGAGAGAAACATTGATTTGTTGTTCCACTTATTCATGCATTCATTGGTTGATTCTTGTATGTGCCCTGCAACCTCAGTATAATGCTATAACCAACTGAGCTATCCGGCCAGGGCTGGATGCAAGTTTTAAGAATATGGTTTAAAGGCAGATAGTGTCCTTTATATGAAGAAAATGGTTCTCCTTCCTTCTAGCAAGTATAGCCCTGCACCAGAGTGCATGCTTGGAGAGGGTAGTGCTCTTGTGAACGACCTGCCTAGAAGGTAGTTCTCAACCACATTTTTATAAAATTGTAATGCCTCCCCAAGCCAGCAATCCCCTTTCTCAAACTTTTTGTTTTTTCCAAATTATAAGAGAAAGTTTATTTGGAAAGTTACAGAGGTAGTAGAAGTGAGCCAGCTGGGCTGTGTGTGAGAGACAGAGACTGACTAAAATAACATTACCATCTGACATTTTACATATTTGTCTCCTGTTAGCCCAGAATTTAATGGCTGGGACGCCTTTGTTTGTTGCCGAATCACCAACATCTAAAACACTTCTGGGCACATATTAGGTTCTTAATAAATATTTGCTTAATGAATGAATGAGCCAATGAATGAAGATAAGCTGGTAGAGTGAGAAAAATAAAACAATTGCTGTGATATGGAAATCAAGGAAGAAGTATTTTAAGGAGGGAAGAGTTCAGTAGATATGCCATAGAAATGGCTACCGAATCTGGCTGGAAAGCAGATCACAGGGTTATCAAGCAGTGCTGTAGAGCTTCACTGGTCAGTGTGGCAGCCACTAATTACATGTGACTATTAAGCACTTGAAATGCTTGCTTGAAGGTTCTGGCTTAAGTATAACGAAGGTCAACTGGGTAATATTATAGGAGTAATAGTAGCAAGTATGGCCCGGTAGCCCAGTTGGTTAGAGCATCGTCCCAATGCACCAAGGTTGCAGTCCCATCCCCAGTCAGGGAACACACATGAATCAACCAATGGGTAGAACAACAAACCAGTGTTTCTCTCCCTCTCCCTTCCTCCCTCTAAAATCAATTTTTAAAAAAGAGAGATTAAAGATGGTTGTGGACTGAGTGGAAGCTACACTGACACTCTCCTGAGACCAAAGTGAAATTACAACTAAAATATAGAAAAACCATCCTGAATAATCAACTGCAACTGAAGACAAGCTGGAGAGCACCCTCATATCCAAGGAGGAAAAGTGGAGACCACATAGAGACTGGTAGGAAGTGGGGAGGTG